CACACAATATATACACCTGTTAACTTTAAACCTTTGGAAGCAGGGTGGTACAAAGAAGGATCGAATATATGGGGTGTCCCCCAAAATTGTATACATAGTTTGAATAATTATTAATTCCAACGGGTTAAATCTGAAAAGAAAGCAACATCAATTGAGCCATCAGGAAAAAGTGTGGATACATTTTTGGGGGGACACCTTGCACATATATTTTGATACCTAAACCCAAATTAAAACTATATAAAGTTATATAATATCCCATTTTTGTTTTAAGTCACTATTAAATTCTAAAAATAAGAAACCTTTCTTGGCTTCTGACTAAAGTATTTTATTTGACTGCAGAACAAACATGCAAAACTTCATTAAATAAGTAAAAGCATGACTGGTGTTCTCTTTGCTCAGCTGTAAACTGGTTGTATCTCAAGAATGTGACCGTGCAGCTTAACTGTGCCGTCAGACAAAGACAGCTTTACCTCTCCACCTGATACAGAGAAAGACGCGACTTCAGGGAAAGCCACTGGTGCTGGAAGAGAACCCTCACATACCTGCTCGGTCACGCCCGGATGCCGTGGGATCTCGTAGGTCCTGCATTTGAGCTGCAGCACGGGGTCCTCATTCAGAAGCTGTGCGAGCAACAGCACACCGTTCTAGGGGGAGGCACAGGGAAGGGCCCGGCTTGATTTCTCACCAACATACCTGAGCCGGTGCGGCCAGGCAGGGAGTACCGCGTCCCCAACAAGTTCTCCACGGACACCAGGCCCTCTCTTCTCAGAAGAATACGGCTTCTCTTCTGTATCGCTCTTACCAGAACTTTCTACCACCGTCCCTCCCCTGTCCAGCCTCCACCTCTATAAAGCATCAACTACACGTCCCCAACCGGCAGGAAGGAGTCACAAACGAGTACGGTGGTGCCTAACTAGGTGTCCCAGTCCCTGCTGTTTCCGACGAGGGGCCCCGCGCTCACCTCCGTGTAGAAGCGCACGGAACCCGACGTGAAGCCCAGCACGATGCAGGTCCAGTCAGGGCGGCCCGTGGAACTCCTGCCACAAACAAAAGCCATGACCGAACGGCCCAGCAACCACAGCAAAGCAAACAAACCCCGCTTATCCGTCCTCACCTCTTCTGGCTTGCCAGCGGGATGCACAGGGCACTGGTGACATGCTCCCTAGGAACAAAAACACAAGCGTGAGCTTATCTCATGAGCGGATGGACTGCTGTTACTTCTCTCGAATGTGACGTTAAAGGGCGGTAAGTGAGAGATGAGCTCTGTGGACCAGTCTGATTCAGCGCCTCAGTAAAATCACAGTACAACTCCACCATAAGCCTTGGCTGGTTTGGCTCAGTGGATAGAGCGTTGGCCTGCAGACGGAAGGGTCCCAGGTTCAATTCTGGCCAAGGGCACATGTCCAGGTTGCAGGCTCCATCCCCCCAGTGTGGGGTGTGTAGGAGGCAGCCGATCAATGATTCTCTGTCATCACTGACGTTTCTATCTCTCTCTCCCCTCTCCCTTCCTCTCTGAAATCAATAAAAATATATATTAAAACACAACAAACTCCACTGTAAGTAGGACCATAAAATCCATTCCCACAAAAGGCAATGCCACATTCACTAGAGGGTAATTTTTTTAAAAATATATTTTATTGATTTTTAACAGAGAGGAATAGAGTTAGAAACATCGATGAGAGAGAAAAATCGATCAGCTGCCTCCTGCACACCTCCTACTGGGGATGTGCCCACAACCAAGGTACATGCCCTTGACCGGAATCGAACCTGGGACCTTTCAGTCCGCAGGCAGACGATCTATCCACTGAGCCAAACCGGTTTGGCACTAGAGGGTAATTTAAAAGCAGTATTTTTCATTCTGTATCGTCATGAAAAGCATGAAAGTAAAGAAAGCAAAACCTGTCGACACACTGATTATGTCACAGAACTGAGATGGTATCAAAGCTCACCAGGCTGTGGCCACAGCCCACTCCCCTCTGCTCCGCATCAGTGGGAACTTGGGCGAGGGCAGGAGGCGCTGCTGGTCACGGGAGTGCAGGTCTGCAGAGCACAGACTCCAGGGACCTACTGTGCTTCAACCAGTGGCTGCTTCGTGCAGATTTTGCACAAACTGGCCCCGATAACCTATCTCTAAGCACAGGTTAGGGTGGATGTTCCTTAGCGGTTCTTTTTTCTGACATGTCGGCTTGAAAAATTTGTCAGGAGCTCAGAAAACAAGCCCCAAATTAAAGTAACTCCTTGACTGGTTATTATTTAACCAGTCAAACCCCAGGACCATTAGGAGAAACTAGAAATACTCTTGCCCACACGCCAGGGAATCACTGAATGAAGTCAATCTTTTTGCTTGTTGTCTGTAAAGGAATTCAGCCAGTATGTTTGCGCTGCACTCGTGGCAGAAATGAAGTGTCTTTGAAATGTTTTAGACTAAATGACTTACTAGTAAGGAGAAATATTTTCATTTTTTGATAAGAGTATCTACAATGTGCAGGCATGTACTACGGGCTCCCACTTGGCTTTCTTTTATCTGAATTCAAAGTCTAAAAAATCGTATTCATTTTTATCAGAGAGCTTTGGGTCATAAAAATGCGATTCGAAACAGTTTTGGCTCTAGGTTCAGGCTAGCAGCTCCATCCTGTAACCATGTTAGAGATTTGATTGTGTGACTCTTACTGGGTTAGCAGGAAACCTTGAATTCACCAACTTGCTTTTTTGAAGTATTTGTGAGTTCTAAGCATTAATGTAGCCCTGGGGTGGTGAACACAGAAAACAATGTAGAGATAACATGTTATAGAAATGCACACCTGAAACCTATATAACTTTATTAGCCAATGTCACCCCAATAAATTCAATAAAAATAAAAATAGAAATGAAAAGAAAAAAAAAGAATTACTGTAGCACTGTCCCCTTTAAGTACAAGTCCAATGCCAGTGAAGCAGAGAAGACAATTACTGCCCTTGACTTTCTGGTTGAATAAAATTAGCAATGGAAGACGGCGGAGAAGACAAAATTTAAGAAAGATGTTATAAAATTCTCTCTGACCTCTTCTTTAAATCCTCTCCAAACAGTTGTGTGTGTTTTTAAGAAATCACATGATGAGTAAAATTAAAACTTGCTAACTGAGTCATGCTCTACCACCTCAAAGTTGGAATGAACATACACTTTCCAAAAGATGAAACTTAAATAGATTCGCTTACAATTCAAACAATTTCATATACGCATTTAACCACATAGAGGCAAAAAATTAATCGGTACCTACCCTTCTTCGACATTTAAACAGCCACTCCAACCAACAGCAAATTGCATTTCTTCCTTTCCTTTATCACTATATTTCCATTTTGCTGAAAAAATTAAGTTATCATATAAAATAACTGTAATATACTAAAACAGTAATTTATAAATGAATTTAACCTGGGCCCCTAGAGCAGTGGTTCTCAACCTGTGGGTCGCGACCCCTTTGGCGGTCGAACGACCCTCTCATAGGGGTCGCCTAAGACCATCCTGCATATTAGATATTTACATGATGATTCATAACAGTAGCAACATTACAGTTGTGAAGTAGCAACGAAATAATTTTATGGTTGGGTTCACAACATGAGGAATTGTATTTAAAGGGCCAGAAGGTTGAGAACCACTGCTTTAGAAGGATGAGTACAAAATTTAATAGTTCTGTATTAATAGATTTGGGTCATAAATATAAGAGAATGTTCAAAAATTTTAATAAGGTATTTATAAAACTCTACCCTTCGTCTCTCCTTCCTCCAATTAAATCCATATAATAAAGTTATTAATTCATATATACCCCCAACCTATTTTATGTATGAAACTACTTTTATCTTTAGATGACAAGCAAACTTCCTGTTAGATTTATGCTACTGGAGGGTAAATCTGCTTTATAAGATCATCCCACAGCCACTCAATATAGGATCTCATCTTGATCAGTGAGGTCTTCCTAAGCTCTGACCCAAACCATAATTTTAACCTTCAGCAAACATAATGAGCTGAACGCTTATGTCCCAAATAGGAAATTGCAGTACTGTGAGTTTTCAATTAGAGTTGACAATCTCCTCGCTCTCATTATCACCAAAAAGGGTCAGCGGCCCGCTGAGCTCTGGCTGCCCTTGCAAGGACTGGGCAATGCCCAGCCATGTCTCCGAAGTGCCACAGAGAGATGGCTAAAGTGTGTGCAGCCAAGAAAGAAAAACTGAGAGGGAAAACAAACAAACAGAAAAAACAACAAAAAAAGAAAAGGACAAAAGACAAAGAAATACAAAAAAGGAAATACAAAGTTTTATACAATATATAACATAAACTTTCGAATGCCACCATATAATGCACACAATAGAAATAACATCTTTTCTTTCTCTCTAATACATTTCCTGTTCTAGTCTATGCATTAAAATGAAGGCCACTGGAAAATAACAGATACTCACGCACTAGAAATACAGCTTTCTGCTCCCGGGCTATCACCATAAGATCATTGGTTGGCGATAAGGATAAAACGCAATCTTGAAGCCAGGAAGTTTTTTGTGTTTTGCAAGTGTTTCCTTCTTCTTCCTGTGGGTAACATGGCAAAGACTGTATATGCAACAATATCGAGAGTTATTTAAACTTAGCTTGTCCACCTTGAAGGGCGAGGGGGAAGAAAAAAGGGACAAGAAATCTTCCCAATTATTTCATAAAGTCTCAATAATATTTCTTATCAAAACATGTTAAAGATCACCAGCAAAATGTCCACTACATACAAACCTCAGCTTTGAATATTAATGCCAAAATTTTTTAACATAAACAAATATAAACTAGGAAGACATTAAGGGAATATCACATAGGGGACACTTCGAAAATGACTGAGTATTAGAAAATGCAGTAATAATCCTATGCCAGAGACAGCCAGGCTGTCTGCAGCCAGATAGCAAAACAGAACTATCTGATGAGTATGGCTGTAGGATCTGTGAACTATTTGCTACATCTGACACTCTTTTTTACTTGACCTGAAAGGTTTTTTCATTTTTTCAACTGAAAAATTATTCATGTATAAGTGAATTCTCAGAGGTAAAAAAAAAATCAACAGATCTTAAAAGGTCTGCTTTGGAAAGTCTCTCTCATACTCCTGTCCTCTAGCTGCCTTGCTGACTCTAGAGCAGTGGTTCTCAACCTTCCTCATGCCACGACCCTTTAATACAGTTCCTCATGTTGTGGTGACCCCCAATTTCATTGTTACAAATTGAACATAATTAAAGCATAGTGATTAATCACAAAAATAATACGTAATTATATATGTGTTTTCTGATGGTCTTAGGTGACCCCTGTGAAAGGGTCGTTCGACCCCCAAAGGGGTCACTGCCCACAGGCTGAGAACCGCTGCTGTAGGAGGTCCCTAGAGGAGTCAGATCCATAGAGATAGAAAGCAGGGCCTGGGGAAGGGGGAGTTAGGGTTTAAAGAATTAATTTATCCAGTGAGGTGGGGAATCAACATTGCCAACTTGTTCTTACCTATGGTCAGGTAAGCAAGGCACCAGAAACAGCATTTGACAACATCTATCTATAATAATAAATGGGTAATATGCTAATTAGACCCGACGTCTCCCAGATGTCATTCCTGAGGAAGCGGGGCCAGGGGGAAGCCATCCCAAGCCCCAGGTGCCTGTAGGCAGCGGCTGCAAGGGAAGCCCGGGTCCCGGGTGCCGGCCGGTGGCCGGAGGGAGGAAGGCCTACTCTTGCACGAATTTCATGCATCAGGCCTCTAGTAATTAATAAATAATACAAGAGTGTGGGTCTGTCCCATGTCAGATGTTTAAGATGTTTCGAGTCCAAGTACAAGTAATATCACCAACGGCCTGGAACAGCAGAGATGAGGAAATCCCCTCGCCAGTGCGGGTCACAGTGAACTAGTGTTGAACTAATTTGCTTATATAATGAACAACAAAGCTTGATTTCCAACTTGTCAAAAAAGCCCAGGCTGGAGAGTGGGCCAGAAAGCCCTAGGGAGAATGTTCGGTGAGTACCAGCACACACTGGGCACCGACAGGATGCCAGCTCATCGGTTTGTTTTGTACCATAAAGGCATCTGCCTACCAATTAGGTTTTCTGAAAACTTCCCCCATAGTAACGGGGCCCATAGTCACCAATACTGCTCCCTGGAAGGTGCTGATTCTAAAACACCACCATCATTTGACAAGCTAGTTAATTTCCCAAGAGAAGCATGAAATTAAAACAAAACAAAACAGCACCACCCAGGACTACCTTGCTTTCCACAAAGACTAGCCCCTTCCAATTACTAAAGTGAGCATTAAATGCACCCATTGGCTATAAGCATAACTCCTGCTGGGGCTTGGGGAGAGAATGTATAATTTTATTTAGATGTGGCCTAAACTTCAAGGACCTGTTTTCTTTGAAGTGAGAGTAGCAAAACTTTTTCTTAGTGTGCACAGATATGGATTATGAAGCCTAGATTATAAAAAGGAATTCATTCTAAATAAATAGGGCTGTCACAGATTTTTAAATTTTTCTTTCTTTTGATTTTAAGCCCGCAAATTTGTCAAGTGATCATTTTTTTCAGAATGAAGCAGGTGGTAAAATTTGCATTGTGTAACCAGCCTTTCAAGGGAGCGCTGGCCACTAGCGGAGCTGGTAAA